CTTCTCATTTGCGAAATATACTGTACGAACCTATGAATTTCCAACGATGAACCACTAAATCTTTGTTGTCCTACAGTTCTTCTTAAATAATTTAAGTCTGAATATCTGAAACGAACTTTCTCCACCGCATCGCATAGCTGATTGACAATGTAATATAGCTTAAATAATGTATTTGAAGTTGCGATTATCTTGTTTACTCGAAGAAATGAGTGTATTGATTCTTACGAGGTCACATTTTCACTTTGGTCTAACAAAACTGTAAATCGGGTCCAAAATGGTCGATATCGATCTTTGTGGGTTTATAAGGTGAGTCGAGTAAAAATGGTTCATTAAAAATTATTAGCTCAATGAGTTATGTAAGCCTATATGACAGTTATGGATGTAAATTTATACTCTGTAAGTAGATCTTTTCTTTGAAAACGGTGTGTGAATTAATATTAGTTAAACTGTAACAATGCATCATTTAAAAAAGGAAATAGAAGTGAATTTCATTAGCACCTTGATGTTTTCAAATCATTATTGTTCTCTAAAACGTAAAATATTAGTTAAGTGTATTTATATTTACAGTATATTATTTTATATGTGAATTTACAAATAGAAATACGGGCTCTACATCCAGACTCTAGGCATTTTCCTAGGTTGCCTAGTTCTGGCCCTCTTTGGGAGTTGATTAAATAGAATAAGCAGGAATGGTCGCATTTAAAAACAATAGTTGGATTTAATAAATAATTTTAATAGTTAAATATTCGAATAATTAATATCCTGAAGTTGTTTCGGATATTGTTTCTTTATAAGATATGGGGGATTTCTTACGTTTAAATACGCAAGAAAATTTAAAGCCTTCCACGGTTTCTTTCATAAAAATAACTAACAAAAAATAAAATCTTTAAAATTGCTTTTTATTAAGTTAACAAAAAACATTCTACGTATTTCATTTGTTAAAAAAAAGGCGGAAAAGAGGCCCGTTTTGCTTATGTAGTCCATATTGAAAACTTATGTTCTGTAATATCACTTTTAGACATTTTCTTTTCGTTTATTCATTTTCAATTTATCTATATTTTAACTTAAACCGAAAGGAACAATATGACAATAATCACACATATCTAACCAACTAATATTTATTCCGACAGGACCTTTCGTTGTCGAAACAGACCCGGTCTACTTACTTTTTTGAGGTCGCGGTATATTCAAAACACAAAACAGAATTTTAAAGTCGTATTACATTTTTAAAACAATAACATTTGATAAAAATAAAATGTTTCATCGTCCTTAATACACAAGAAGTGCAATGCAATGAATAAAGTTTCTGTAAATAAACGCCCAAACAAATGGCTCTGTCGATTCTCCCTACGAGAGTGTCTGTTCCGAATTAGTTTAAATAAGGTCAAGAATATCAATAATTTAATTTTGATTATTTAGAATTCTGGAAAGGATTCGAGTTACAACGTATAAATTTTATATTTTCGAAGAAATCTATCAAATAAGATTTGAAATTTTAAACCTGGCAAAATTTATGTTTATAAGTTTATGTACAACTGGTCTATATTTAATGGCTGGCATTCATAAATCAACTTTTGGGGATGACTTACGCAATAAAAAAGAGCATTAAATTACTTAATAAAAAATCCTTAATGTGTCTTTTTTTTCAAAAGAATTCTCGTTTCTCATTGGGTGTGTCCCAGTATATTTAGACCACGAACATATTTCTATTGCTTAAATAAAGATATTTACAGTAAAATGTAGATAAAGGAAAACACAAACGTTATTTTAAGAAAATAACTTACTTTCTGATTTATATACGTTAAATAATTCTTAAAAATTGCTTTTTAATTGGTCGAATATTTAAATATAGATTTAGAATAAAAAATTCAAATGTAAAATATCTACTTTTATATTTTAAGTATGTTTTTATCTAAAATAAACTTTGAAAAAAATTTATACACCAACAACAAAAATATTGCATTATTCAATCATATAAATTCTAACTTTAATGATTTATCCATTAATTTCTTACGGTTGATTTATACGTAATCACGTATAATTTATTAGCCTGAGAGAAAATAAATTATAAATTTTATCCGAAGAACACTTACGATGTTTAAAGAAAGATCGCGCTTCATCGAAAAAACCATTTCGTTTTTCCCCATTTTCTTTTTGTTTTTGTAGGTTTTTGTCAGGCCATTACTGTCAAAATGCTTTAGCACTGATTCATTCAATGTTTTTCCAGAGTAAGGCTACTTTCGTTAAATGCGGGCATTCAACACAGCTAAATAAATTATTCAACGAAAATTACAAAAATGATTTGAATTAACACAAATTCGTATCGTTAAAACTGGTATTTACAGTATACTTAATTTGTCATAAAATCAACTTTTAAACCGGTAACAAATTCTTATCATCTACGTTTCATAGATATTAATTACAGCAACCAACTTACGGCCCGCGGGCCTCCTGCCCTCGAACGTGTGTAATATGGCCCGTGGTCGTTTCCAAAATACTATATATATAGCAAACGGCCCGCAGAATATAGAGTAATATATAATCGTATAACTGTAACTTTTACTTTACACCAGTTGTTTATACGTCGCTGTATACTTGTACCTTATTGTTTATGTACTGTACTTCCTTTTTGACCATTTTCGCCGTCTTTTTTCAATCAACTGTCGATAGCGATCGAATCGTTGACCAGGCCGGTTATAAATCGTAAAAACCTAGAAAATTTGATTCCTTTACTTGCACCTTCATATTTTATTTGGCCATTTAAAAGTGTTGCCCTCATTTAAACAAACTATACTTTATTGTAAATTCTTTTCTAAGTTACTTTAAGATTAAAAATACTTGTATAAATCATTCCCATTTTCTAAATTTCCCACAAAACTTCTCCAAGTCTATCTTGTGGGGAATTTAGAAAATGGGAATGATTTATACAAGTATTTTTAATTGAATTTATTATTCATTGTGTAGTTTTCTATCATATAGGCCTATATTTTTATTAATTTATGATCATTTTATAAAGAAATGTTAGGTAATTTAAGCATTCGGTTTTTCCTTTTGTTTTATCTAAATTGATAGGATTTTGTCACGCCGAGTTGAGTTATTTTGACATAAATCAAACGTCTTACATAAAATTTAAAATTTTCAATGAAAAACTGTCAAATATAACAATCTCGCAGCATACAAATTGGTAATAAAATGTTTAAAATATGTTATATTTACGTATCCTTTGTGCGAGGCAAAGAGCCAACTTTCGAGCAACAGTCGTTGACCTTTAGAGGCAGAAGAGTGTACACAATGGGACGAAAACTAGAAAAAAACTGTGAGAAATCTTCCAAGCTAACGTGTTATTTAAGCAATAACAGTTTATGTGTAATAAGTGGCGCCATTTTTATAGAAAACGGGAAATAATTTATAGCGCATTGTTCCGCTTGGCTAGTGTATCGTATTGATTAGTAACAGCTACTAATGACTTACTGTACTCCATCTGACAGCGACAACCCACATTATGTTAAGTGAGCTGTCAGAAACAACAGCTTTTAAGGTGCAACTAATAAAATGGGAGCCATTTTGGAGGTCATCCGCACTCTGGTTTCTGAATTAAGACATCAAACTTGCCGGATCTGTTGTGAAGCATTTCGAGAAAACATGCCCCTAGGTATATCTAAACCAGTCCCCTATGATTATCTGAATGGTGAAGTGAGTTTCTAAAATGTTAATGTCTTCATTAACTATGGTGAGTTTTGCTTGGAAAGTCTTTTGCCTCCAGGCTTTCCTTTATGTTTCGCCGGTGAAAAAACTTCACACCTTTTTTCTTTCTCTAAAAAATTCTTTATTCACTGGACCTTAAAGGCAATTACAAGTTTTTGATTTGATTTTTTTTCTTTCATGTTCCATCGGTTGTGACAATTTGACGAATTGTTAAAGGAAGGAACAGTTTTTAATAAAAGATGTAAAATAGCGGCATCCAATTGAATGACTTTCTGATGCAAATTAAGTGGTAAGCTGCAATTTTGCACAGTAACTTTTTTTGCCATTTTAAGAGAACAGGTGGACACTTTTAAGTAAATCTGCAAGGCGGAGAAATGAATATATTTTTATATGATGCCAACCAACACGAGAAAAGAACTGTAGAAAATAAAAGTTGTATGATATAAAAATTGATTTAAGTGAAATAACTAGTTTAAATATATTTAGGTCCATTCAAACTGAAATGTTAATCTTGTTTATACACAAATTAGTAGTAGTTAAAACTTTTCTGGGATACCGTTAACTATTAAATAATAGAAATTACATCACATTGTGTTACAAAGTGTTAACTTGTTTATAATTTTAACGAGGTTTATCTGAGTAAAATCTGAATATGAAGAAACTGGTGAATTCGGTCTCGGTGGGAGGTCCGGACGCTCCATTTACTACTAATGGTCGCCATTATCTTCAGAGGTGGCACATTTCCTATGTGGCGAAAGGATTACGTCATTGGCTGACAACATTTGACTTTCACATTGGGTTAAGGTCAGTCTTCCACTGTCGGTGGTCTTCGTTCTCCTATTACTTACAAATAAACAGAGAGATTGTCAGAAGTGCTGACTCGATGACTTAAGTGCAAATTGGAGGAAAGAAACAACGTTAAGTGGGGAGAATGTTTTTGTAATGTTTCAAAATCCCAAGTGGCTAAAGTTATTGAAATTGCACGAAAAAGTTATAATGTAGATAACGGTCCGAATATATTTGAGCGGTGGGCCCCCGAGGAGTTATGAGATCGGAGGAGACCGAAAACCCACGAGCTAGAGTCATAATTCACACGGAAAACTGTCAAATAACATCGAAGTCAGGCGTCGTATGTCTGGGTAGAATGTACTCTAGTTTTTATTTCGCTTCTAATTTAAAAAATTCACCATTAAATTATATTTGAATGAATCGATGCATAAAGCAATTAACTAGAGAAAAAATAATGTCGTTCGGCATCGGTTATATTTCATAATAAAATATCATAAAAAAACGGTTAAAAAACCGAAATTGGAAATGTTAAACGTGTAATTTACATACTACATCCATCGTACGAATTTGTACCTATTAAAGTAGTTCGGTCGTTAGATTATAAATTCTAATAAGTTCTGATGAGTTTTTTATTCGTTAGAGACTCGACTCCTCCCATTTTTATCATCTTTAGCAATCTGAGCGTCGTTCCCCTTTAAAAATTTATTGCATCAAGCCAAGCTCCTCTTCTGACAAGACATTATCTCTTCCGAGCCCTTCTTTTTTCAACTGGGTGGAGATTACAACCGTTGACAGCGACACACCCTTAGCTATGTCCAGGCGGTATTTTGTTTGACCCGATAATGATTTTTATCTATAAGAAGGAAAGCTTTGCAATTACTACTATTATTTTTAATAGGTCTGCATCTAATCCCAATCGGATTTCTCAACTGGATGCGGATCGAAGAGGCCAACTGTTTGCATTTTATTTAAATATATGTATATGTAACACTAAGAAATTCAATTTGACTTTCGTTCTCTACAAATACATTAAAGTGTTTATTTACATACTCAACATATAAAAGAAGAAAATTATATTTACTTTAAAAAATATGCAAAATCCGATTATATTTTTGGTGATTTTTGTTTTTACAGACGTATCATATGAATTTTAATATTTACATCTTCTCGTACGTTAAAACGTGACCGCATGTTTTACATGTTTTTTCGTATACGTCGTCTTCTTTGAGTATTTCTTCACCGTAATCGTGATTATGTGAGGTATTAGTTTGTCTGTACAAACTACTACGGACACTCATACGGAGAGCTGAAAATAGAAAATTTCTTAATATTATCGTTGTTTTCGGAAAGAAAATAAATATTTAATTCATTCGCAAAATAAAGTTAAATAATCACCTGATATCTTCCCTCTTAATAGGCTTATTTCTGCTCTTAAAGAGGGAAAACATGTGGTGATTTATTTATATAATTACGTTAATTTGCCAGTAGAGAAATAGATAAACTCAAATAGAAAATTACCTAATTCTATATTTATATAAAATTAAAATGTTTAGTAAGTTGTTTATATTTTATATGATTGAAAATTATAATTTATCTGCAAATACTGATACAATTAGGGAAATGAATACAGCATGAAACCAGGAACAAATCTTAAAAAAGGTCGTTTTTAGTTTAAACTTTTATGTAAAGTTTTATTTTTTTAACATTATTTAAAATAAACTAAATATATTTATAATAAAAATGCAATCAAACTGAAAAAGAAACAATAAAATATATATATTTTATTAATATACAGGTATACCTCGACTTACGTCGTTTCGAGTTACGTCGTTCCCGATTATACGTCGTTTGTCAAAAAAGTATACGAAAAAATAAAAATCAAGTTTAAGTCATTTTATTCGACTTTACGTCTGTCCGCCACAAATATTGAAGTCGTAATATCACTAGATAAACGTTTAAAGCACATAAAATCATATTAAAATATATACAAGTATGTACTGTATTTACAGTACACGCATTCGTAAATTTAGATTACTTTTTTTGTACTATATTAAAAACTAAAATTTATTTGTTTGTAAGCTTAAAATAGATTTTTATTAACCATATATTATTTAAAATGCTTTCCTAGTGATAAGTAGATTCGGAGACAGGTAAATTCGACTTACGTCGTTTT